TCCTTTGTCAGTGTGTCCCTTGCCATTCCCTATCACCCCTCCCTGAGAGAGACTTCACCCTGATTCATAAGGAAAAGGGGATGGAGATTGTAATACTTTTTATAAAAAAAATTAATTTTATATTAGTTTACTTACAAAGTTCATATACATTGTTTTTCACACCAGATCTTTTCCATTTCCTTTACCCACCCCTCCCTCTACCCACCCAATTGTGCGACCCTATGATTTCCCCCGCCTATCCTCATCCCCTGCTCCCACCTTCCCCTGCTTGGGTCCTCATACACGTCTTACTAGTTCTCTTTATGTTTCTACCTTAATAGGAGTAGGTAGTTAGAGCTTCTTGCCTGTGGCTGGTGGGTTCAAACTGCCTACCTTTTGGTTAGCAGCCAAGCGGGAAACAGCCGATTACATAAGTGTTTTTGTTTTATTTTTAATTTTTTAAAAATTTTACTTTATTATTTTTTGTGTGTACCATCAAATAGAATCTGACTGGTACAGGAGGAGATTTCCCCTCCTTCTTCAGCAGAGCATCTGGTGGATTCGAACCGCGTACCTCTGGGATTGCAGTGCAGCTTCTTGCCACTAGGCCACCAGAGATCCCTAGTGTTTTTGATTTTGTAGTTCACCAGACATGTTTTGTTTTAGACGAAAAACAATTATAGGAGAGGAGCTGTTACCATTTTTAGGTGCCATCCAGTCGAGTGTGAGTGGCTCAGTGACCCTATAAGTAACAGCTTGGAGATCCGTCCTATCTCATGCCATCCTCACCATCTCTGATACACTTGAGCCCACTTCTAGATGCCCTGTGTCAACCCATCTCAATAGGGTCATCTTCTCTTTCTCTGATCCTCCACCCTTCCAAGCATGATATCCTTTTCCAAGGAACAGCTTTTCCTAGCAACATGCCCAAAGTGTGTGAGACAAAGCTTTGTCATCCTTGTCTCTAAGCAACACCCTGGTTGCACCTTTTCCGAGACCAAGGTGTTTGTCCTTTTGGCAGTCCCTGGGATAGTCAGTACTCTTCCTCCAGCACCACACCTAAAGGCGTAAATACTTCATCATCCGTCATGCCCAGCTCTCAGTTGCATAGCAAGTAATTGAAAAGACCATGGCTTGAATCAGGTAAACATAAATCACTAAATTGTATCCAGAATCCTCCTGGTGTGGATCTTTCTGCACTGGTTAAATATTTCCCATACAGTTTCTCTTCATCCTTGGCAACCGCACCCAGGCTTTTCTGTTTCACTAGGAAATATTTTAAGTTGTGCTGAGATCTGCCTCCTGTCACTCTTACCTGTTGTGTTGGACATCTGGACTGCTTTCAACCATTCCTAGAACTAGGTAGGAGTGCGAGTAACCTGAAACTAGAATTACAGGGACATGAACACCAAAGGAAGCTTTCTGAGCTTCCTGGTAGGCAAGGCAAAAAGGGAAAAGTCCCAGTGTTCTAGTTGTCTAGTCAGTGGTAGGCTAGCTTTATCAGGATAGCCTAATTTTGACCTGGTGATGATTCTAAAATGAATTTATTGAAGCTGTTGTCCAACAGGGCAATTTCCTCTCTCAGGGGACATTCTGGGGGGAGTGTATGCCGCTGATACCTAGTAGGTTGACTAGGGATGCTGCCAAATATGTTACAATACACAGGATGGTGCTCCTCACAAAAGCTGATCTAGCCCAGCTGTACAAAGACTGAGAAATCCTGGGGGGAGGGGTTGCATAACAATGAAAGAGTTTTTCTTTTCAAGGAGAAGTGTGAATTTGGGGAGAGGGGGTGGTGCAGGGAGAAGAGTGCAACAATGAATTACTGGAAACTCTAAGTCTCTGTAAACTTTTATTAACATTAATAATAATAATTGGAAAAAAAAAGACTGAGAAATTGTGTAGTGTCCACAAACCATCTTCAGAGGCGGCCAGCAGAGGAGGGGCTCTGCATCGCTCTGACATGGATACTCCAAAGAGGACAATCATGTCTCTGTGGAACTGAAAGCTGCAGAAATAGCCTCCTGGCTTTGAAGAGCTATGTGGGGAAAAGTGGGCCTTAAAGTTGATTTCTAGCGGTGCATGGAGTTGATAGCTTTGACCTTTGTTGGCTTTCCTCCAGAACCAAGGTCAGAACCATCAAGTTATGTCATGTCCATCCCCTGAAACTGATGCCCAGTAGGCCCTGGGTAAGCCCACCAAGGGCCCTTCTGTCAGACACAGCTGAGTTCTTGATCTGACCTCATCAGACAAAGGGCCGCTCAGATGGGTGCTGTCCAAGGTACTTGTCCTCAACAAGCTTGCTAAGGCCCAGGCTTCAAGGACTCGCTCCATCCTCCTCCTTTGGACCTTGTCGTTTAATCTCTGAATGGACATTGACACCTCTGGGTCTCCTCAAGTGCTGTTATTGTTGGGTGCCAGGGAGTGACTCCATAGTGCACAGGACGGAGCGGAACTGCCCATCGAGTCTCACAGGCTGCAAGCCTTCAGGGACTGAGCCCTGGTGGAGCTGTCAGGCGTGCTGCATCTTTAACCCAAAGGCAGCCCCTCTCTGGGGGTTTGAACCCACCACCACCTCTGAGGGAGAGGGATGGACAGTCCTCTCCCATGCGATTTACAGCATCTGAAAACCTGTCAGAGTCAGCTGTGACTTGGTTCTGCTTTGACGGCAATGAGAGAGAGAGAGACTCCTGACATTGGAAGAACCAGGTCTTTTCACCAGTGGGTCACAGAGGAGCTGGAATCACCACTAACCTTTTGGTTAGCAGTAAAGTGTTTAACCACTGCACCACCAGGATTCTTTCCTGTCTTGATGTTGTTGTTGTTGTTGTTAGGTGCCTTTGAGTAGAGTATGACTCATTGTGACTCTGTGAACAGCAGATCTGGACCCTGTCCTGTCCTGTCTTGTGCCGTCCGTACAATCACTGACACACTTGAGCCCATTGCTGCAGTCACTGTGTCAATCCACCTCATTGTGGGTCTTCCTGTATTACACGGACCCTCTACCTTCCCCAGCGTGATACTGTCGCTGTCCGTTTGCTGGCAGGGAGCAGCGACACCCTGATGGCAGTAAGTGTAATGGAAACACACCACTCGGGGAGTGCTGCAGAGAGCCCACTCAACTTTATTGGGGGCCACAGTGCGCTAATGTACAAGGGAGTAAACAGGATGACAGGAGGGGGTCCAGTGCAGACCACTCCCAGCGCAGTGGATGTGGCAGCCTTCTTCCCTGGAGGCGAGCTTTCTCAGCCAGCACAGCCAAATGCAGGAGAGCTTTCTCTATCCCGTATTAAGGGCTGATATGGGCCAGATAGGCTTGCACTAATCCAGAGCTAGGTGCTGTCCCCCAGCTGAGGGCCTCCTCCTCCTTCCCAACAGTTCTCAACATGATGTCTCTTTCCAAGGAAGTCTTTCCTAGTTACATGCCCAAAGTGTGTGAGATTATGTCTTCATAGCTTTTGACAGTTTACCTTTGAACCAGTGCTGACCCTGTCTGTTTCATACAAGTTTCCCAGCTGGGATTATGTTTACCCTGCCCCACTTCATCTTAACTTGCTATACATCAGAGAGCTGGACAGTGACTAAGGATGACAGAAGAATCATCGATGCCTTCGAGTTGTGGTGCTGGAGAAGAGTCTTGAACATACCATGGACCGCCAAGAAAACAAATAAGTCTGTCTTGGAGAGGTCGAAACCAAGTTTCTCGTTGGAGGCTAGGATTTGGAAGCTCTGTCTCATGTCATTTGGGCATGTGGCCAGGAGAGATCATCCTTGGAGAAGGACATCATGCTCAGAAGGGTAGAGGGACAGCATAGGAGAGGAAAACCTGGATGAGATGGACTAATACAGTAATTGGGGTAATGGGGGATGTGTGTTGAAGTCAGTGAGATTGGCTCAGGACAGGGCAGGCTTCAGAGCTGTTGTACAGAGGGTCACTATGAGTCACAGGTGACTTGACAGCACATAATAACCCTTCATCTTCCTCCTTCCCTCCTCACCTTCTTTCTCAGAGGGGAAGCATCTCTCCCAGACCACCTACAACACAATGCTGAAAGGTGCATGTGTCTTGGATTGACAACAACCTAATGAAACAGCTACATTACTGTTTCAGTGGTAGAATTCCCTCCTCTTCCATGCAGGAGACCTGGGTTTGATTTCTGCCCCATGCACCTCCATGTAGCAGCCACCACCTGCCTATCAGTGGAGCCTCATGTGCTGATAGAATGCTGAACAGATTCTAATGGAGCTGCTGGACAGGCTAGGAAGAAAGGCCTGGCCATCTATTTCTGAAAAAAATCAGTCCCTGAAAGCCCTGTGATCAGTACCATTCAGTTTATTGTGCATGAGGTCATCCTGAGTTGGGAGGCTGACTCAGAAGCAGCTGAAGGTGCTGTCTATCTCCCTTTTACAGATGTGGAAACTGAGGCTCATAGTCTTGCACGAGGCTATTGCTCAGCTGTAGAGAAGACAGGATTTGAACCCTGTCCTTCCAAGCCCCAGGAACCTTGGTGTTATAAAGGTTAAATTCTCAGCTGCTAACCTGGAGGTTAGTTTGAACTCACCAAGTGACTCCAAGGGAGATTATGTGATCTGACTCTGTCAAGATTCCCCCTGTGGGACATTTCTTCCCTGTCACATGGTCAGTGAGTCATCAGGGATGCAGGGATAGCCAACAACCACTGCCACCCAGTGCCTGGGGCCTGTGTGCTCAAACCGTCCTCACACTGTCTCTGCCCAGCAATGACATCATCCATGAAGCCCACCAGTGTTTGACTCCACTGCTGAAGACCTCACTCTGACCCTCCTGCTGAACTCTTGCAGGGAGGGACTCCCTGCCCAGGCTTGGTGACCCCTAGGCCTGCAGTCGTGTCTGGGCATTCACAGTTTTCTGCACAAAGTCGTTTTCCGCATGAACAGCCCAACCTCTAGCCCCTACCGGATGGTGGAGCGTGTTGGAGAAGGCACCAAGGATGTCACCAAGGAGGCATTTATTGCTGGCCGCGGCATGGGTAGGTGGGGGTCTAGGGGGCCCGAGGGTTCATCGTTTTCTTGCATCCCAGCGAGCTCACGAACACGTGACTCTCCTGGGAGTCGCGCCAACTCTTCCTCAGTGGGCCCTGGTACTTGCAGGGAAAGTCCTCCTGGTAGACAGTTGACAGCACACGCTGTCCGCCCAGTGGGGGCTCCATGTGGCTGTACTTGCACTGTGGACATAGGGAGGACAGCTTGCCCACCTCGGCCACTCTGAATCATCCATGCTCTCTCAGAGCATCAAAGCTGGGGGCACGTACAGTCAGATATGGCTGGCAGCTGGGTCCCAGGCCTCTAACATTATTGACCCAAGGACCAATAAGAGGCATGAATGCACCAGGGATGGCCCTGGAGCGACCACAGAGCCAAGTGACTTTAGGTAACCCTCAGCTAGTCTTCAGCTTGGGGAGAGCATAACCTTATGATGGTCCTGGTGCTGGGCTGACCGTGACTCTGGAGTGAGATGAATGACAATAAGATGACCCCTTGCCTGGGGTGACCCTAGAATGACCCTAGGCTGGCTCTGCGGTCTGGGGGAGACACTGTCCTGCGACAACTGACAGCCCTGGTGACCCTCCTGTGATTTGGGGCTGTATCCCCCTGTCCCCCCTCACCCGCTGTAGCTGCTCCTCAGTTAAACAGGCTGGAGCTACGCTGTGTGGCTTCAGCATCTTCTGGTTGGTGGTTAAAAAATCTGTCTCTAGAGATTTGAGTTGGGAGGCTGCTGAGCTGAGGAAGACTGAGTGGGTCCCCCAGACCGGAAGGTGAGGGGCAGAGTCTGCTTTGGCGCCGGGGATGGGAGATAGGGTGGGGGCGTGGCCTGGGGCGGGGTTGTCCCGGGCAAATCAGAGGTCCTGATAGAGTCAGGCTGGCATCTGGACCTTCAGGAGGCAGAACCAGAGCCAGGCAGTGGGTGGGGCAGCACTAGTTGGGGGCGGACAGGACCAATGGGGTGTGACTCCCTGGTATAGGGGCGGGGCTTCCCAAAGAAGAGGCAGGACTTCTGAATAGGTAGGCACTTCCCAGTGGCGGGGGTAGGGTGGGTTGGGGCATGGCGTAAGAGGGGTAGGGGACTGTAGGGGTGATGTTCCCAGTGGGGTGGTGCTACCCAGTAGGAAGGGTGGGCTTCAAACCAGGGCATAGCTTCCAGGCAGGGGCCTGGCTTCCCGGAGAGGAGTGGCGGCCAAGAGTGGGAGTGGTTTCTTATATGTGGGCGTGGTTTCCAACAGGGGCGGGGCCACGCTCACCTCCAGTGCCTTTGGGCAGGTTGCTGTCCTGAAAGTGCAGGTTGACCGCTTTTGCTGTCTGATTCGTCTCCAGGGCTGGGTAATGCGAGCTCATCGAGGTCTGGAAGAAGTTCCTGAGCTGCGCTGGATCTCCTAGAATCACGTGCGTCTGCAGTTTCTCATGGGGCAGGTGGCGTCTGGGAGGTTGGTTGACAGGCGGTGGCTGGAGGACCACAGGTCATCTGGGAACTCCCTTCTGGAGGTATTGTGTAGCAGGCCCACCCCGTGTGACCCTGGGCAGATCTCTCGCTCTCGCTGGGGCCCCTGGGGGCGCGCTGGGAGCTGATGTCATTATTTTATCATTTTGTAGACAAGGCCACTGGAGCCAGGAGCGGTTTGACTTACCCTGTTAGTTGTTAGGCGCTGTCCAGGCATCCCTGGCTCCTGGGGACCCGATCCTGTGCTATCCTCACAGTCTCTGTCTTGGTCAAACCTGTCACCACTGTCGCTGTAGCAGTCCATGTCCTTGAGGGTCTTACTTTCCTGGTCTGGCCCTCTTCCTTTCTATGTATGATGTCGTTTTCTGGGGACTCTGGGCCTTCCTGACCTCACGCCTAATGTATGAGACGCCAAGTCTCACGTCCTTACCCCTGAGGAACACTCTGACTGCACTTCTTTCAACCTACACTCTTTTGTCTTTAGGTGGTATGGCACGTATGTTCAAATTTGGTCACCAACACCACAATTCAAAAGCACCAGTTATTTTTCAATCTTCCTTATTCATCGTCCAATAGGGCTGTTGTACATAGGGTCGCTATGAGTCGCAAGCGACTCGACGGCACATAACAACAACAACATGAAGGACAGTGACTAGGGATGATAGATAATTGATGCCTTTGAGCTGTGGTGCTGGAGAAGAGTGTTGAATATATCATGGACTCCTAGGAGAGCAAACAGGTTTGTCCTGGAGAAGGTGAAGCCAGAATGCTCTTTGGAGTCAAGGATTTTGAGGCTTCGTCTGACATACTTTGGGCATGTTGCAAGGAGGGACTGGTCCTTGGAAAGGGACATCATGTTTGGCAGAGTGGAAGGATGGCTCAGGAGAGGAA